TAATATACATGTGTGACAAACGTGACTGTAGAATAAAGAGGAAGTAATTTTTGCCAAAGTAATTGATAAATAAATGTCATAATAGCTGCGCGTGTAATTTTTTACAGTTATAAAATTAATTAAGTCTGCTTAATAAGTCAAAGAAAACTTAATGAGAAAGCTTGTCTAAATTTACATGTCACTTACCTTGGTATCTATTGCAGTTGGTTTATTCGAAGCCTTAACTCTTAGAAAAATTACTATATTAGTAAACAAAAATCCAAGTAAAATCTAGTATTGAATATAATATTTACCATTACATTTTAAACTCCAAAAGTCTGTTTTGAAATTCAAAGATCCATTGTGTTGTATCGTTAGTAATATAGAGAAATGTCTTGAATAATACCCTTATTTATAGTAAAATAAAATGTATCATTAGCCTATTTTATTGGTGCCCTCTGCTGAGCAAAGGCCTCTTCTCTAATAGAGGAGGTTGGAGTATTGATCACCACGCTTACTCAAGGCGGATTGGAGATTTCAAACTTATAATTTGAAAATATAAGCCCAATATAAGTCCAAAGTTTCTCACGATGTTTTCGTTGTATCTAAATACTTTTAGAATGTACATAAACGTCAGAAAAAATCACTTGTTTCGTAATTTCTCACTGGTAATCACTTGTCACGTTTTTAATACACACCTTCAAGCATGAGAGGAATGCTTTCACCATCAAGCCACCAAGATTAACTTCACAAGAATAATGTAAGATAACTTCGTTAATTTAATTTGACGATCATAGTAAAGGTATAGATAAATTACCAAACTAATTTCATATACGTTCCAGAATATACATACATATATTACAAAATGGTGATTTTTGCCAGTCTTCAATAAATAATTAAATGTATGAAAACATTATTTTTAGCTATACGCTCTATTATATGCTCTATTATTTTAATTTTATATTCGTAACGGAAAAAAATTGCTATGTCATAATAATTATTTATTAGTTTTAATTGAATTCGGAAGATATTGCAATCAGATTAAATGCATAACCATGTATTGATTGCTTATAATTATGTTGAAATAAAGTTATGAAATTTAACTTCGTAATTTTGATATTCATTAGACTTTCCTATTTTTCTTTTTCTATACTGTTTATTTTAATATACCTTTGTTTCTTGTCTATTAATATGTATAATAAATTAATAGTATATGCCTACGATTCTATTTACCATAATTGCTGACGAAGTTTGTTCAACCGATTCATCAGACTTCTGGGAACCCTGTCGCCCGCAGATAAAATACAACATTTTTGACATCTACATTTCATTTAATTTGAGATGATTATTTGTGCAGTTTATTATAATCACTTTATAATTAATGTGTAAACATTTTATTTTATAATTAGGAATGAATAAATTTGCATCCATAATGTTACTTAAAATTTAAATGAGATAAGAATCTCGACAATTACATTTCAGGGTGAATTTCGTGAGAACTTTAACAACTTTTAAGAAGTGTAGCTTAAATATCATATAAAAAATCTTTTTAATTTAAAGAAATAAACACGTAAAAGGATTGACAAAATGTTATAAAACTAATGTTTAATTTTTATTCATTTGAAATATAAGTATTGAGATATCCTAAGATAAATTAAACCAGGTAATTATGAATTTCAATTGAGCTCCACTCCTCAAGTGACTTTGTTAATTTGGTCATTGTTTCATCAAGGAGAATTAACAAGTTTCAACTTGCGTCCGATTACTTAACGAAGTTTTAAGATGCACGGATTAAACTTCCCGTACTAGAGCTTATTCCTAAAAGACATAATGATTACTCTAAGTTTTAATTATAGTTTAATTGGTACGGTCCTAAGGAAATTCTGATATTATAGTATCTTTGTTTTCATCTGTGGTAGTGTATGTGACATTTGTTTAATGTTGAGTATATTACTGTTCAATTAAGACATATTATATACGTACATTTCATCTCTTTTTACGAGTTGATCATAAATGAGAGTTGTCATAAGCCTAACTTCAATATCTATTTGCTTATGTGTCTGTGTGTCAGTCTGTAACATCGTTTCTCCCAAACTAATGGATGGTTATCGAAACGAGTTTTTTATTTGAAAGTGATTTTCTTTTTTTAGACCTTAACTATGTGTTTGACTAAAATCGATTTAGAAGTATACTCGTTAGAGTATCAGCTCTTTTTCAAAGATGTGAGGGATTTTTTCGTATGATTAATCGATTAAATACCTCAGGAGTGTCAATATAAAAGTTAATAGGTAGGGGATTTTACAAAAAAATGTAAAACTCTGTGATGTTATAAGAGCATCCATTAATTACTTTTAATTGTAGAATATAAATAGGATAGGTGGTAGTGTCTCAAGTGACTATCAATAAGAAAGTGTAATGCTTCTATATTGAATAAAGTTATTTGAGTTTGAGTTTGAGATACGATTGAAAGATCTTGCCCGAATATGCCTTCCTCTTTTTTTTTCTATGTGATTGTTTCTTTGAATTTGATTGAAACGTAGCAGACGTTTCAATCTCATCAGAACGACAACCTTATAATTTACATTAATTATTAATTGTTCTAAGAAAAACAATCTGCAATCTACTCTAAAGTCAAAAAAAAAATTGCAACCATGCATATGTGTTTTTTTGTCTATTTTTATCCAATTACATAGACGTCATATTGCTATATCAAGTTTTATTGAATAAAAATAACTTGTATATACAAAATATTAATAAATCATTTACATTGTATAATATATCTATAAAACAACCCATTAATTTTCCGCAATCTTCACAAAAGAACGGTGTATAACTTTAGATATAGACGTCAATTCGCACAAGGAATAGACCATAAATCAGTCTGTGCCAAAACTGACAGATTTGTCACCGTCTACAATAAGTGGTTGGACACGATAAGCCGGTCCGCCGGGTAAGAAATGGCTTAATATCAACCATCAATTCACGTATTAAATTTTGCGTAAGGAGAAACATTTTCATACAAAAAAATATTATTTTTTGTTAAACATAAAATTATGTAGAGAATATTCTTTATACAAAAGAATGCGATATATTTTATATTGTTTTGTATACATTTGACATCGTATGTTGAGTGTTTGTAGCGGCTATTAGGGTCATCACTGAATTACAAACAATTAAGAATAGTAACGCTGATATGTTGCTTAATATAAATATTAATAAAAAATTAAGTACCTACTAGATATATTTTTTGTGTTCAAACTTGTAAGTAAACTAATATACCATTCAGAATTTGTAAGTTTAAATATCATATGATAGTCACGATTAAAGACAATGTCACGTGTAATTTTGTATTGTAAAAAAAAGAAAATAGGGCTTTTTTTAGATAAAAAGACGTTAAGCTAGTGTATCTTTGGCATTCATTAATTAAATACGATCGTCGAGTCAAAGTTGCAAAGGACGGGGCTATCAGGGTTCGTCCCGGGATACGACGATTAATCACGGGATCCTTCATACTGATTGATAGTGAATCCCGTCTTAAAACTGATACAATTCGAACGTCACGTATATCACTATAAAGTTACAATACGGCGCTCCTGTGAAAACTTTTATTTTATATTTTATTTTTTATATCAATAAAATGTATTTAATATTCTCAAAAGTATATCTATTTTTTGAATTTAATCCCGTTTTTAAACTCAACGTTTCTGTACTAAATTTCAAAGTTTAAAGTGTTGTATGTTGTGATTTTTAGTTTTCCAACTTTTTAATAACGGATTTCTTAGTTATTTTTCTAGAAACTGTAGTAATCAATCAATCAATCAATCAATCTTTAGATACTATTATTAGTCTAGTATAATTCAAACTTAGATCGTATAAAAAAACTTTTCAATTATTATTATCATCTTCTATATATATAAAAATGGATTGCTGTTCCTTAGTCTCGCTAAAACTCGAGAACGGCTGAACGGATTTATCTTATCTTAGTCTTGGAATGTTCGTGGAGGTTCAGGGAAAGTACAAAAGGTGAGAAAATTTTTAATAATTGCCAGGAAAACCCTAAAAACAGCCCTTTTCTATTTCCCATACAAACGCTTTTTTTTGGCATTAGATTTGACAACTAACTAATATGTCAATCATTCTGTTTGATTGAAACAGGAAAAACCTGATTATTTATGGCCTCTAAGACGGAATAGAGTTCGCCCGGTCAGCTATACATATATTACTAATGACGAAACTAACGCGGACGAAGTCGCGGGCAAAAACTAGTTAGAAATATAAATACGTTTGAAAAATATTTTAAAGTATGTAAGATTCGATGGATAAATGTACTATTGTTTTGAAATCAACGTTATACGTAAAAAACTTTATAATTTTTATACGAAATATGCTAGGCCCTATAGCCTGCATAAAAGTTTTGAACAATATAAGTTCAAAACTTGCAGGCAAATTGTATCAAGTTTATCCCTAATGTCCGAACCAATAGTATCCAAATCCTTCAGCAATAGATATTTGTCTATCTCGAATGTCTTGGAAGCTACCAGTCAACATAAATTTTGATCGTGTCACGGTAAATGTAAAGGGGATCGGGAGAGAACGATTGAAGTGCCCTCATGTGAACGGGTTGATCACGGCCCATAGAACACAATTCGTTTGATCTCGTCGCCTACCCGCTAAGCACTATTTATGTCCCGTCGAACCAAGGACAATCGTTGATCATATAAGTGACATGAAACATGTGTTGCCATGTGTAAATAATAAAATTAAACGCTTTTAACAATATCTGTCGTGGAATAATTTAATTCATTCAATACCAGTTTCATTCAAATTCTTTAATTTATTTTGTTGCAGGTGATCGTGTACATATTAAGGGAAGGAAAATATACCCGTACACAAGATGCTCAAAATATTGGAGATCAAGAATACAATGCCTGCTAAGAACGTAATCTCCAAATGGCTTCGTGTTAAACAAGGGAAACATAAAGACACCATGGCGCTGGCGAGCAAATAGCTACTGGGAAAATATGAATACGAACAGTTCAGAAATACTTGTGGCAAGAAGCCAATCACATATACTACAAAAAGGACCTGAATATTTCATAGAGTCTCCAGGTTTATCATATAATGTGGTTTTAGAATTCAATTCCACTTTAGAGAATAAAACATTTAATTTCACCGATGAGTTCGGCGAGCCCTGGGATGAATATATAAATCTTCTGAAAGATCGTGCTGTTCTGGTGATATTTCTCCTTTTATTTTCATTAACTACTGTTTTTGGAAACATGTTGGTAATATTAGCTGTTGTCAGAGAACGATATTTACATACATCAACTAACTACTTTGTAACATCATTGGCAGTAGCCGATTGCCTAGTTGGACTTGTGGTAATGCCATTCTCTGCACTTTATGAGGTTTTGGAGCACACTTGGTTCTTTGGCGTTGATTGGTGTGACGTATGGAGATCTCTGGATGTGCTATTTAGCACTGCATCCATATTAAATTTGTGCGTCATATCCTTAGATAGATACTGGGCTATTACTGACCCGATCACATATCCCATGAGAATGAGCGGACGAAAAGCAGCCTTCCTTATAGCGGCAGTATGGGTGTGTTCCGGTGCTATATCATTTCCGGCCATCGCGTGGTGGCGTGCAGTGCGCTTAGAGGAAGTGCCAGACTATAAGTGTCCGTTTACGGAAAATTTGGAGTACATTATATTCTCATCGACAATTTCATTTTATTTACCTTTGTTTGTTATGGTGTTCACGTATTACCGTATATATCGTGCCGCTACAATTCAAACTAGATCTTTAAAAATAGGTACGAAACAAGTTATGAGACCAAGTGGCGAGTTAGAATTAACATTGCGTATTCATAGAGGTGGAACTATGCGGCAAAGAGCTGATGTGTGTCACGGGATGTGTACCCCCGAAGACGCTGATCACGAACCTTTGACGGCGTTACAAAATAACGGTCTGTCGCGGTCATCGACGCGTTTGACAAATTTGACGCATAACAAAAATTTACCCAAAAACTTTTCCCTTTCTCGGAAATTGGCAAAGTTTGCGAAAGAAAAGAAAGCAGCCAAAACTTTGGGTATAGTGATGGGTGTGTTCATAGTGTGTTGGTTACCGTTTTTCGTAGTTAATCTTTTATCCGGTATATGTTCATCTTGCATCACTCACGAAGAGATCGTGAATGTGGTGGTGACGTGGCTTGGATGGGTCAACTCTTCGATGAATCCAGTGATCTACGCTTGTTGGAGCAGAGATTTCAGACGGTGAGTATTTTAATTTACACGATTAATGAACTATACAATTGTAAAATTTTAAAAATAATTAAAATAATATTCAACTACTAAAAATATACCACTTGAAAACTATTAGGTTATACAATAATTCTAGCATAAACTGGTAGATATATTTTCATGTTTTATTTAGTATTAACATGAACTTTATGTTGAATATTATGACGTCAAATAAAAATTGTATTGTTGCTAAGTTGTTACTTTGCTCCTGATTGAAAATAATTCAGAAATTTTTACATGAAATTCAAAAGTGATATTGACTATGGTACGCCACGTTTTCGTTATGGTATTCATCCTATTAAAGATATTTAAAATATTCGTACTGTGTCATATTATGTAAAACGTAGATAAAACCTTTTATTTAGTCACAACAAGTCAAAAGCGTTTATTTTTAGCATTATGTTATTGTATCAGCCAATTTATTGACTGTGTCAATTACCAGATATTCTCGCTATTGGTTTTACGTCAAACTTCACTCGTAAATTATGTTACGCTTATAATGCCTCCTAAAAGCCCCAATAAATCATTTAAGGACACTCCATATTTTGGACCTGAACTAATAAAAATTTATTGTATTACGTTGTGTTGAAGAAATGAATACATTTCCAAGTTTGCAAACAAAGCTTATCTAACATCATTTTTGTAATGAATGTAAAGTAGATTAAGATTAAGAAAAGGGATAAGCCATTTAATGAAAGTAGGCCATAACGAAAACTGTTTTAAGATTATATGGATATGAGACTTTCACGTTACTTAATTATTTTCAGTTATAACAAAAGTAGCGAAGCATGTTATTACTGTAACAACTTTAATATTTTGCACGCACGGCTGCATCATAAACAAGAAGAATAATGAATTTTAAGTTTGTTATAATCAAAGCTTATGAAATAATGGGGAGGGAATCATGATCACAAAAGGTGTAATAGGACGTTTTGAGAAAACAATTACTATATATTATTGTTAAGTATTTTAAGAGTTATTTTTTTTATATTATACATGATATATGTATTATTATACAAAAAGTTGTCGAAATATAATAGCCTGTTAGTTTTCTAATACATACATTTGATCTTAAGTCTGAGTTTATTTACACATTGGTAAGGTTCAAAAATTATTAGATTTTTAAGATCTTAGCTAAAGAAAGGAGCAAAATATTCAGTTTTAAGATTAGAGAAGTTACAAAACGATTGGACTAAAAAGAGAAAGAATCAGTCATCATTAAATAGATAGCTATATTAATTACCACACTCCGATCTTGTAAGAACATTTAACCACTTTTTAACTCTAGCTTATGTAAACTGCAATACATTGATCGTACATATATGAAAGTTTCCCTTTCGTACATAACACGACGTGAGAATTGAACGAACGATACGATTAGAATATTATATATACGAGTACGTATATGGAGTATTTACTTAAAGGAAACACGCGCGTTTATAACGGTTGAATGTGTTGTACGTGTAGTATAATTTCGTTTGAACAAATTCATTCATAAATATTTTTTAATACAAAATTTACAAAATATAAAGATAATACAAATCCCAAAACTTCATTGAGAAATTTCTTTTGACTGATATTTACTTCCTTTATGCATATTAATTTTACCATATTCAATATGAATCATATATATATATACAGGGTGACTGGTGAATTACTATCAATATTTAAGGAGAGTACTCGGTACATGATTCTCATTCGAATTATGTAAAAAAAATAGGCACTTAATTTTTGAAAAAATTTCCGTATAAATAAATAAAGTGTTGACACGTTCCAAGTGTTCCAAGTGTGGACGCGTGCGGCGGCGTGCTGATACAACACCACGCCCCCGCCGCGTATGTGTAAGTGTGTGTGTGTGTATACCTAATCTGTAGGGTGTTCACACGATGCGTAATTAATTACATAACTTTTGGTTAACTTTACTTAGAAGTTTATTAATATTTATGTTATATTAATTTTTATTTTGTCATATATGATCGTCAAATATCACGTCCTCAAATATCGATAGTAATTCACCAGTCACCCTGTATATATATATATATATTTCAAACTCAAAAATATACAGATATATTTACTATATTATATGTTTATATGTAATTAGTTTTTTTTTTATATTTACTACCTTATATTTCGTTTTAACGGTTACACTGAGATCTATTTCATGTAAATAATGACTTAAGTTAAAACGTTCTTAACGATCTCTATACCAAGTAACCTTAAAACACTCTCTATCGGTGTAATGGATGACTTTGACTTATATTGTTAACACTTTTCCGTTCTTTTTAGGTCAACCCTAATGGTGTTTTATTAATTTATCAATTTTGGAATATATTCAGTTTCTTGTCTGGGCTATTGTTATACTCCCAATAAATATGACGAATATTTTATAAATAATATAGTAGGTTCATAATTATAATAAAAATCCAACAAGCATTTTCAAATAAACTCAAAATTTAACTCAAATAATTTAATTATAGCAAACTCAACAGCTTAAACTATCATAGTTTTTGCACTGAATAAGAAAACACATTAAAATCTTCACGCTTTCCACGTTATTAAAAATATAAAGTAATCTTTAAATATTAATAATTATTATTATATATATTTAAGAAGTCAAAATCGTACTTATAACATCTTCAGTAAATAAACCCAGCTACGCCACTAACAGAAAGTGTGGGTCTGTAATGTTCGGGTCATAAAGTCTATCTGTAGTCAGTGGGATGCAGCTTGTTTGTGGTTTGGCTAAAGCTTAGTAATGGGTACTTTACTCTCACAAAAGAGTGACGAAGGCAGTACACGGACTGTACGACGTTGTCTTGTTCCACAAATAGCCTAGTAGGAGTATCTCTATAATCCAATTAAAGTAATATTTCTAATATCTCAATTATCCTTATTATTATTATGTATATAAATTTTTACAGCTTAAATGGGAAACGGTAACAATTTACTATCAAACGAATGATTGGCTTAGAAGTATTTTCAATTAAAATAAGAACAATTATTTTATGAATATAAGTTTCATTAACTTATAATTTACAAATTAAGTAGATTTTATAATAACATTTCAATCTTCTTTCCAATAATTCGAAACAAATCATTCTTCACATATCCTTATCTTCTTAAAATGTTGACATTATATTAATTCAACTTTATATATAATATAAGTTAAGTTTTGTTTGCAAATATTTTTAAAGTAAAATAATTCATAAAGACTTACTCACTTTGGTTAAAACAAAAGTATTATTTGTTTCTATCCTTCACAATTCTAAAATGAAAGAAACATGCAAGAAAATGATTGTTTTGTTTTGCCTCGAGAAAGACTTTCGTGTCTCTTCCTCCACGGTTATTGGGTTACATCGTGTAAACGAAATTACAAGTCGCTTTCATTAGATACATAAATTGTATTCCGTATTCTTAAATTAGTTTAGTATCGAATGCGGTAAACATTAATGGAATATCCAAGCTTCATATTACATTATAATGTTTTTAATAATTTACTTTGAATGTCACTTCGGATATTGGTTGAAATTCACGAAGTATTAAGTTCTTATCAAAATCAATGTCAATATTAAAGTATCAAAACATTAAAAAATATTCAACTTTATTTATTTCCACAGATGACAGGATTACAATAAAGATAAAGACATTTTACTTGCTCATCAATGAGAACACACGTAGACAATAGTGTCAATATTTATTTAATAATATTAGTGAGTTAATTGTATTATTCATAATCTCGTCGTAGCAAGGCCGCCAGCAATTTTCAACGCCTTCGATAATCCGTTTAAAGTTGGTCCAACGAAGCTCATCATAACGATTGGGGCCAACGATGCAAACTTATTGGATTACTTTAAGAACGTTTTAGGGAAATATTTAATCCACCATTTAGGGGTTAACACTTAAAATGTTTAAACTCTAGAGATTTGTAAGATTTAATTATAGAAAAGCAAAATAAAATCTCATCAGACTTCACCTACATCGTTTTTTTATTCATTAATAATAATCTTTGTTTGAAGAAATTGTGTAAATACTACGTAGTCCGGGAGGATGCTTACGTATAAGAATAATACTTGGGCAATGCCATTTCAGGATCAGTACTAAGGTCGCAATTACCAAAGTAAGTCAAACGGAAAATTATCTGTATCCCTTAATGGCCGTTGAAATTAAAAAGAAAGTAAGCTTACGTTAACCATATTTTATTCCCAAACCCAACCAACCAGATAGTATTAATTCCAGAGCAAAATTAATATTTTTAATCTAATCTGTATATTATTTTATTATAATCTATAACAGTTGTAAGTGCAATTTCATAAATTAATAGTTTTTGTGTTTTTCGTGAGACTCAAAATTCTGCTTACTATATGTAAATATTATCTTATATATACATACATACATATGTGACATATTAAGATAATGACCTCGTTGCTATCCAAAGATATATTTGTTTGCTTAAATATCTGAAAATATAAATATATCTAAGTATTTCCTAAAATATTTATTTCACTTTTCAACAAATATATAAATATATTTTACAAACGTAATGGGCAGGGAAAAATAATTAATTTGTTAAGACATTATGTTAATTAGAAATGAATATGTCAAAAAGTTTCAAAATTAGTTAAAATAAATTATAAAACAAGAGTATTTTAAAACAAAACTAACTAAAATATTTTTTCTATTAAAAGATCTTCTGAAAATGTAAACACGATTATCATTTATATGTGATATGAGAACTGCGACTATCTAGAGAACTTTGGCTTAAGTGCAATGTAACTTTTGAAACGATGCATACATTTCTATATACATACAATACTTATTTGTATGTCTTGGTTAGCTGGGAGAAGATTAGACAATAATCAAGCAAATATGAGTCTTGTATTCAGAAGTATTGATACTAACACAAACTCTCTACCTGGCAATTTCCCAACTTTAGCCAGATTCCGTCTTACATGTTGTGAGTAGTTTTGACTAAG